GTCCTAAAAACAATAGCTAAGTCCTAAAAACAATAGCTAACTAGGGGACTCCTAACATAACTAGGGGAGAAGGCTAAGTAGAAAAGGTAAAAAGTTAAATTTTTGAAAGTAAAAAAAAAAGAAAAGCAATTTGCCCTGCCCTGAGCCGGGTTCGAACCAGTACCACGTCCACATTATCTTGACCAGAGGACTCCATTGGTACCCATAGCGTGGCTCTAGACCTTGTCTAAGAGAAAAGCCAAAAATCGGCGAACCGGCCGTTTTCACTGTGTTCAGCCACCTTTTTTCTTCATCAGTCATCATCGTCATCAAGAAAGTTAGTCCATAGATACTATCAAGAGTAGATAAGGGAAGGAGAGTGTCCAACAGCCCTATAGTATCTGCTGCATCACTGCGTAGTGCGTACTCCGTTTGGCGTTTGCTTTGTTATGCAAGGAATTACTATTTTCACAAAATTAATTAGTCCAATTTACAGATTCTAGTTCAATAATTAATGGGCATGGCCAATTGTTTACGTGTACGATAAGCTATATATCACTCATAAAAGGGTCTAGTTACTTTTAACTCTAATATCTATGGATCTGCCATAGATAATAGAGTAAATGAAAGGGATTGGAAACTTCCGTGTGGGCGTAGCAATAATGCCATTTGATTGTATTGTTGCTAAGCAAAAAAATTGCTGACTAGGCGGTTTGTTACTTTTTCACCACAAAATTCGTGATTAATTTTTTTCTATTAAAATTAGAATATCTCCAAGAAGAGTGCTCTGATGAAAAAGAAACTCGACTATCAAGGAGTTCAATGTTTTGCACTGTTAATTATTATTTATTTGGTATATTTAAATTAATACTTTGTGTGTTAATATAGCGCTTTTGCCCATAAAATTCAGTGCTGTTTTCTCCCTCTAATGAAGACATTTGTAGCTAAACTCTAAAAAGCTTGTCAGAATATTAAAGAACTTTCAATTACCTATGGAATGATATGAGGCAACACTAGAATAGTAAAAGCATGACAGCTGTAGAGGCAAAAAGGTGTCAAAAAAGGTGCCGACTTTGTGTACCCATAACTGGTCGAAAAATAGCTCTATAGAAACAAAAACCTTGCTACAGGTAGCCATAAACTTTCTATGTGGAACAGAAGATATATCATAAGCAAGCGCTATCTAATAGTCACACGATATTCCTTCGAGATCCTTTCTGCACAACAACTACTGTGGAGGAGATGGGGAATGCAGATAAACACGGACGTTGCCAACCAGGGGTGACGAAAACCGCATCACCGGGCGGGAACGGTAGTTTCCAATCCCTTTCATTTACTCTAATATCTATGGATCTGCAGCTCTGGAAGAAGCAATTTATTTTTTTACCAAGCTATGCTTGGAATCAACTACTGCAATACTTTAGTGGAGGTTTCCAGCTAAAACAAGGTATTAATCTTACATGTTACTGTTTTATCAAGTGTGTAATTTTATTTTATTTTAAAAAACAAACAATTAATTAATGTTATGATATTCAATGATATGAATGACAACAGCCTGGAAGAACAGGAATAGCTGCAACATTGCATGGAAGATGGACACTCTCAGCTCACAGCTTCTTGAACAAGGACTTGTGTCAAGACTAGTATTAACTTCACTTGTCATCAGGATAGTTGATATTCCTTCAGCATGTCTATTCAATGCTGTCTCTCATAAATGATGTAAAGTCATAACAATGATAATAATAAAGAAAATTATTGTTTGTGTAAAATCAACAAGCATCACAATGGCAACTAAAGAAATATTATAAATATTATAAAAAAATCAACACAAACAAGAACATAAAAAATTTAAAAAAACAAGCTTAAGTAGGATTCCGAACGACCAACGAAAATACGAAATGAAAATCCTACTCGTGACGCAAATTCTACTCTACATTGCAAGGTGATCCGTAATTCTTACATAATAACATTGAAATTACAATGTAGAGTAGAATTTGCGTCACGAGTAGGATTTTCATTTCGTATTTTCGTTGGTCGTTCGGAATCCTACTTAACCTTGTTTTTTTTAAATTTTTAATGTTCTTGTAGCTCTGGAGTGCTCAGTCCAAAAGATATATTTTTTAGAAATCATTTAAACTGTGTCAGTGGACAAAATAACAATCCAACTGGTTTGTACCCTCCTACGCAAGCGTGGCAAGTCTGACAAGCGTGGCGAGTCCAATAATATAGCTCTTGAGTCCTCAGTAAAAAGATATACCATCTATCTGGAAATTTTTACTGTGATTTAAATTTTACTGAATTAGAATTTTTGCAAAAATTAGATCACCCATATAATTATATGCCACATTTAATAATGCATGCCTGTGGCACAGTCTTATTTAGTAAAAATTAAATCGCAGTACAATTTTAAAACACAAAACTTTTTTACCACACTAATTTTCCAATCTACGGTATTTATAAAAAATCAATTTAACTGTGTAGACAGAATGACAACCCAACTGCTTAGTACCTGCCTATGCAAGTGGGGTGAGTCCAATAATGTTCATAATTCCAGGGCTGGTATAGCCTGATGAAGGATTATGAATAATATTCTCAGGTACATATAATACGTCCTGATTGGTCATGGTACATATTATGAAAAAAATGTTACTATTATTTGGTAGGGACTATTTGATCCTAATCCATACTTCTTGTTTCTGATGACTGGAATCGGAATTTTATTTGAAGGAGCTGGCATAGCTTTATTGTGGCTCTTTCCAGCTAGTTGGACAGCATGGATCATAGCAGTTGTGTGTATATTTATTTCAGGAGTAAGTGAAGCTATATAAAGTTATCACTAATTCAATTAAGCAAAGCATGCTTGCAGGTGTTAAATGAGTTAAGCTAAAATTCTTTTTTATAATAGCAATTATGTATCAATAATGATAAATATAGTTATTATATATAGTTCCATATAGATACAGTGGAGGCTCATTGCAACCATATTAATTGTTGTTTTTATTTTGCATGTTTACAGGCTCACATGCAAGAGGTTGGTCATGATTTAGGCCACTACAGTTGCTTTAAAAATCTGAAATATAATTACTGGGCTCAAAACATAACATTCACTTTTCTTGGAGGCCAGTCCAGTAGCTTTTGGAACAAAAGGCACAATGAACATCACTCAAAACCAAGTGTGGTGAGAGTATAATTATTATGATTGCTTGCCTTAATATTGATATATTAATTATAAAGATAAGTAAAGATCCTGATGTAACTTTTCCTGGGAATGTTATTCTACTCGGAAATGATATGCCAAAAGATGTAAGTTAAGTTATGCATGATATTTGCATATAACTATCATTTAGGTTGGTAGAAAAGGTAAAGGAATGCTACCATACCAGTATCAGCATATATATCTAACAATTGGTAACTATTAATATCCTTATCAATTATAGTGACACTATATCTCCTTAATTTTTATAGCATTTCCAATATTTTTGTTAACAATTGGGTTTAACATAAAAGCCTCAATATATCTCTACAAAAACTTGGCATTAAAATGGACTGTAAGTCTACAAAATTATGAGCTCATTAAATTCCTCTTTTCTCTGTGTCTTAAAAATAAAAAAGGAAGCATTATGGCTAATGTCTTTTTTTTATGCGATGGTATCTAATCTTTGTTCCAGTCTGTGGTAGCGTTTGGGGTGCAGTTGCAGTTTACTTTGCTGCAAAAATACTCCAAGGACTCTGGTTGTCTATACTAACACAGTCACATCATCTTCATTTGGGTGTTTCTGCTCAAGACAAACATCAAGACTGGTTCTCGTATCAGGTAGCTATTATTAAAAATATCAATGCAAATTACAATATCTTTTTACAAGGTTGAGCACTGTTTTAATTTCACTCCTAATTGGTTCATTAACTGGGCTACTGCATATACCAACTATCACATTGAGCATCAGTGAGTTACCATTACTATGCATGAATGGAGACAGCATGAATGTAAATAAGTATGTGCATGATAAGTATATGCATCTGGTATATACCTATTTATTATTTCCACGCTAGTCTATTTCCAACAATGCCAGTTGAAAATCATCATTTGGCTGCACCATACATTAAGGAGCTTTGTAAAAAACATGGACTCGAGTACAGGGAAATATCTTGGGCCGAAGCAATTGCCAAAGTTCCTCGAGAGCTGCAAAGACCTGGAGAAATTTGGCTTGAAGAGTACAAGAACATTTGAAAAAAATAATTTGGCTTAACTCACCGCATAGGCGGGTCTATTACTATTAGGTACTTTGGTCTTGCTTTTTGATTAGAATTTCTTTTTTAGTAGTCTAAGATTAATAACTTTATAATTTTTATTTAATAATTCTTTTTTGGTAGTACCTTTAGCCATAGATACTCTATGCTTTTGAACTGTAGGCTTTCCTTTTGTAAAAAGTACAGTGCATGGGGCTTACTATTATTAAAAATGATAATACCATGACAACACCCAAAAACTAATGTTGGCTGTGATATATAGACTACACAATATGTGTTGTATAACAACGCATATAGCGTATATATACAAATATATGTGTATTATATATCATACTAAACAGGTCTATATACAAAAATATAGACCTGAGGTGGGTGTCCAAGGATGTGATATAGCCCGAGGGCTATTTCACATCCGAGGACACCCACCAAAGGTCTATATCTTTTGTATATAGACCGGTTTTAGTATGTTATATAGGATATATTTCATAATGATGACAGCATTTTTGAATGGCAGGTATATATACAAAAATATAAACCCGACCACATCAAAGGATGATGTCATAATTATGATATATATATATATATATATTTAATGTATAGTTGCAGCAAAGATCAAAGGCCTAACAGTTGTGATAAAACCCACAGAACACTCCCACCAATACCGCAGTGTGATATTATAAATAGCACACTCATTTATTTAATGTGCAGCAGTGTGATATTGGTGATAGCAGAGCACATGCAATCTTTGCTGGAACTATACACTAAAACAATTAATACATGTGGCGTTGTGTGCTATCTGATTTATCCGCACTCGCTTCCGGTCTCGTCGCTAAAATAGCACACTTGGCCTTCGGCCTCGTGCGCTATTTTTAGCGACTCGACCGGAAGCTCGTGCG